GTTGGTTCAATTTTACTTGGCCGAGATTATTAAACAAATTAAGAATATTGATTATCAAATTCATCCAAATGTTGTTAACTGCAAGAATTGAAGTTAAAGTGAAATCCTAATATCGTTGTTAACTTTAATGTTTCTCCAAAGCTTGCTTATTTAGAATGGATATTATAATTTAGTTGAAAACATACAAATCTTTGAATATGTATTTATTTGGATTAAAATTAGGATTATTTGAATCCACAGTACATATGCGATTCTCATGATAATCATATTTTATTTATCATTTTAAGTTATAACATAATTAATTGATCTGCAATAGTATTTATCGGAAGTCCTGCAAAATCTATTGAAAATACATTCTTATTTTTTGTTTAAACGTTAAAATAACTTGATATATATGCTGTGATCATGTTCCACATCAACTTCCTTAGAAAATTCATTTATAATTAATTAGTCCCAGCAAAGGAAGAATACAAGACAATTAAACTCACAAATTAGTAAAAGGAGTTTTATTAAGGACACATTTATTCTGCTAAAAGTTAAGCTAATTTAATGCAGAACTTGTTCATCATGTAACCATACACTTGATTAGAAATAAGGAAATTAAGCTATATTATACCGTATAGTCATTAGGCTTTGATATTGCAATGGAAAGTACGGCAATTGGACACACAGCGTCCCATCATCTCTTCATCTGCAAATTGCAAAAAGGAATCATCAACTTAGTATATATGGTGAGAAATCAAGAAAGGGAAGGAGAAGAACGATATTATAGTGTACGTACCATCAGTGAACTTAGCACATTGATCGAGCATGCATCCAAGATTACAGTAGTGGGCTTTGCGTGAACTAGTCTCGGGAGGAAGGCAATGCACCGGACAATATTTGATGCAGGCAGCCACTCCTATGCCACTGCTTTTGCATTCCCTCATGCATTGCACAATGCAGTTTTCAGGCTGTGGTATATGTTCTGGCATAATCTGATCAGATGATGCAGATGGAGATGCAGATACACCCAATAATAATATTAATGACATTTCAAGCATCATCACCAGCCACAGAACCATTAATCCCATTCCTCCTTTCCAAGCCTCCATCACCTCAGATTTATTTCCTACTGATGATTCAGTATTACTAGAGAAACCTTCCATTTATAATCACATGAGTCATGCTTGCTGAATGAGAGAGAGTACCATGCATGCGTACGTTGTTGCAGTTAGTTCATTTACTCCATATGATCCTTGGAGATGATGAATTATTTGTGTGTCAAGATACCTAATTCACACTTACATCTTCCCTCTCTGCTGTGTTTGCTTGACTATACTAAGCGTATGTTTCGCTCCATGTTCATAAATATTCTAGGCATTTTTTTTCCTCACATTTCTAGATACTTACGAATAAATACTACTCATTTATCCACCACTTTAGAAGTGTCAATCCAGGTGGGCAGGGCTGGGTCGGCCCGCCAACATATGAGCCCGGTAATACCTATGTGAAAAAAAGCCCGTCCGCTATGGATTCGGGCCGGCCCACAAATTTTGGACTACAACCCAAACCCGCCCGCTAACCCATCCGGGTCGAGCCCATACGGGTCGCGGTTCGCGGGTCACGGGTTGTTCCAAAAAAATTTTATATTGATAGACATTTTTTTATTATTATTAAATGTAACCTAAGAATTGAACAAAATGATAAATTCATATTTATACCAAAAAATGTTTACATAG